AAGGTGCCATTGGGCTCGAGCATTAGTGATTAGTTTGCCATTTGAAATGTGCAGGGTAGCAGGGGGCATTCATCTAGCAGCTGGTGGTGGTGGATCCTCGGGCCTTAGATTATTGCTGGAGTTGATAGCAACTCTGTTTTTTCCAGCCTTCTGATTCAGTCCCAGGAGCATGATTCCCAACCATCTTGTCAGAGAGCCGTGCTGGAGAAGGTGGAAAAGAATAATTTACTGGAAAATGTGGCTGTTGAGTAGATAGATGGTCTGTTTATGGAGTCCTGCTGTACAGAAGGTTCCTCACCTTTTCAGAAAGGTAAGGTTTGCAGGTTGGGAACGGGGGGGCGGGAGGAATCACATGCTGCGTGCATGTATTCGCAAGCATGGTCGAACCCTCTGAAATGCTCAAATGTTTGAAGGTTGCATGGGGAACGCTCAGAAAAGGCAAGCAGGTTCAGAGAAGTATTAGGTAAGCTGCAGTTGTAGCAGGTGCCTGAGCCAATTCAAAGGCTTCATTGCCAATTTTGCCAGGTACTTAATTTTAACATGCTTAGAGCATGATGTTCTTAAATTTAGCATGACTTGGATGAATGAAGCTCCCTCTTACCGCACCAGACCACTGAATGGTCTAGGTCAGTATTCGCTGACCAGCAGCAGATGAAGCAGAAGACAGTCCCAGCATGACCCCAAATCCTTAAATGTCAAGGACTGAACTGTGCATAAACATTGCTTGGAAGTTACACCTCCCTGCCCACATATAGTAATTATAAATGAATCTGCCAGCATATTGGTTCCTCAAGCCCAGTTTTAGCTAACATGACACAGAACGGTTCTGTGGGATTTTGGGCTGAGAAAGGTCTTTCTTATCACCTACTAGCTGTTTTACTTGGGAGATGCTGGGGATTGAACTTGGGAGTTTCTCAATGCAAAATATGTGCCAGAATTTGAGCGGCAGCCTCCATTTAGGCTTCCTTGTCTTCTGCTCCATCTAACTCCGTATACGTGTATACTGGCCAATTTCTTGCTTTCGAACTGCTTGGTTGGCAGGAGCTGGAACTAGAGACGGGAGCTCACTCCGTCATGCGGCCCACTCGGGTCTCGAACTGCTAAACTACCGACCTTCCACAGCCTGCAGTTCAGCATCTTAACCACTCGAGCCACCATTAGCAACACCTAAAACCCTCCTTATTCCAGAAAGCATTCAGTAGAACTTTGAAGTGAGCCCTGGTTTTAATCTGGTCTCGTTCGCATGTGCTGTTGGATTTTATGGCGATTCCTCTCCCTGCCACCCCCCACGGGCTACACAACAAATGGTATAACCCAGTCTCGTCAGATCTCAGAAGCGAAGCAGGGCCGGTACTTGATCAGGAGACCACCGAGGAAAGCTCTGCAGTGGGAGGTCACGCCAAACCACCTCTCCTTCTTACTTGCCCTGAAAGGTCCTTAAGCAAGGTCACCATAAGGAAGTCGAGACGATGACACCAGGACTACATCTCTTGTGTCTGAGAGCCAAGCACGGTAGAAAAATCTGGCATTAAACCCACTGACCTGATTCGTGTTTTTTTAAAACCCTAAACCATTAATAGCAACATCTGTCTTTGTGCAAATATGATAAATGAAGGGGGGGGGGAGTTCAGCCACATCTTAGGTTGTTGTAAAGGTAAAGGTTCCCTTGCTCGAAAGCCAGTCAAGTCCGACTCTAAGGTTGCGATGCTCATCTCCGTTTCAAAGCCGAAGAGCCAGCACTGTCTGAAGACGTTTCCGTGGTCATGTGGCCGGCATGACTAAACACCAAGGCGCACGGAACGTTGTTACCTTCCAACTGGAGTGGTCCCTATTTATCTACTTGCAATTTCTTGCTTTCGAACTGCTAGGTTGGCAGGAGCTGGAACTAGAGACGGGAGCTCACTCCGTCATGCGGCAACCCTGGGTCTCAAACTGCTGAACTACCGACCTTCCACAGCCTGCAGTTCAGCGTCTTAACCACTTGAGCCACCGCAGCTCCTTTAGGTTGTCGTAGCAACCCAAAAATGGCATGTAGGAACACTGGCATGTGATGAGCGTGGGGTGGGGAGGGGAGCCGATCCAGTGGCGGCAGGGAACAGGAAAGCCTGCAGAGGCCAAGGAGTGTCCGTGGGGCGGGAAAGCTGGAGCTGGCCTGGGAAAATGGGACGCCCCCGCCCTCAGAGATCCCTCCCCCAGCACACACTTTGCTTGCTTTCCGAACCGCCCTGAGCATGTTCGGCCACAGACAGGTGGCATACAAAGCTATCGTCTGGGGGCACCTCTTGGGTGCACGGTCGGAGGAGACCCCATAGCGTAAGCAGCAAATTAAAACAGACAAGCACACGAAAGAGTAGGTTTCCTTAAGTGTATTGGTTTAAGAAAATACAGGAAAACATTGCAATATTGCCACAGTCTCAGCAAAGTGGGCCTCGTCGGACCCACCTCACAGCATCCAAAATTAGCGGCAGAATAGGGAAAAAAAGCAACAAAAAAAAAAGAAGAAGAGTGGCTTCCCCCTGGAGAACTGGTTTCCGGGTGGTGGCCCCTTGCCAGGAAGGGCGGAGAGAGGTCAGAGACGGGGCAGCGTCGGGATTTGAGCTCAGGCAGCTACATGCCGAGCGACGACAAGACGAACGGAGGCGAGACGGTGGTCGGTGGCAGCAGAGAGTGGTTTTTGTGTGTTTTAGTGTGTGGCTCTTTGCACCTGCTGCTCGAGAAGCGGTGCAGGGCGAGGCTACGTGCTAACCACGCTTGCCGTTGCTTTCCTGAGTAAAATACTCGGCTGCAGTCGAGAGCGGCACATAAGATGCGTGTGCACAGAGAGGCTCCCCCCTCCCTCCCTATCGATTCTGGTGCCCCGCAAGGGACATTGCTTTTTAAAACTCTCGAGGGGGGGGAAGATTGCTTGAAATGCGGCACGCCAAGCTGCTGTGTGAGGAGAGGAGCCTCGCCGTGCACGCATCCGCAGATATGCAGCAGAGCTTTCAATGTTGCGGCCGCTG